TAATAATATAGTGCCAACAGGACCAACTGGGAGGAGCTGATGGATCAACTAAACTGGAGGACATCCATCCATCAAGCACTTAGAGAAATGAAGAACCAAACATCTAGAAGAGTAACGAAGGCAGCCAATCCTGATCGACCAAGACGACCACCTGTTGATGCTGCTGAAAGACTCTCCAATCATCAAAGTATCCTCAAACTGTATTTGTTGTGAAAATATTTATTTAACAAGAAACAAAAATATGTGATCCAAAGAATAAAGGCACTTCGTAGAATGGTCGCCTGAGTTTTGTTTGTTGCAATAACCAAGACACAAAATAGCTAACCCGTCAGCTGTCTGTCAGAGATCTTGTGCTGCCCCTGCTCCCTGAGGCAGTTAGAAGGCCTGCAATAAATACTGTTTAACAAACACCATCACGTCATCTTAATAAAGCAAGATGTCATCCTAAGGCCCCTGCTGGAAAACACAGAGATAAACACAAGTGATATCTAAGAGTGACTGCTGTTAGCAAATCTTGATCTGGTTGTGACTGTGGCATGAAAAACTGGATCATTAAAATATGTCGTGATTTACTGGCTTGAAACAAAAAAAGTATTTTTCCATTACAGTAATCATCCTCGTCAACTATTGAGGACCAAATCTGACATAACTAGAAATAAAAGCAGAAATATATAAATAGACCAATAAACTAGGTACTGCACAGCGGTAACYTAATGACCCCCGCACGCACAAATGCACCAGAACTCAGAAGTCTTTATTCCTAATAAATGTCATGCTACTAGGTGCATCCCAAAATTGTAGTGGTTTGGGTGGGGGTCCATTTTTATTGGGGAGGGGGTTGTTTGACCTGATGGACAGCCCCTCATCAGAGCAGAACAACCAAAGAAATCTGAAGCTCCTATGTTGAACAGTTTCTGAGCTATAACCATTTTTGTATGTCCAAATACCCCTTTTTCAGATAAATTGGGGGTCCGGGGGGTGGGGGACACTGATTGGTGGGCCTGATGGATAGAGCTTCATCAGAG